AGGTGTATTTTCTAGATCTGTTTGGAGGAGTTTTGGTGGGAAGCTTGCTGTTCCCCTTCCTTCTATTCTGCTATTTTGGCTCCACCTCCCCTTTTTATATATCTTAATCCTGGGTAAAGTTTGGTTCTAGAATGCAATTCATGTAATGTGTCTTCAGAAGGAAGGGGATATAATCAGGCCTGTGGTCAGCCAAATTGGCAAAGAAGGATGGCACTTTCCAGAGAGGAAACAATTTTCAGAGAAGTCCCACCTTTGAGGGACTGCTTCTTTAATTTTTCTCACCTCTTCTATTATTCCAAGAAAAATCCAATATTTGGATCTGGTACACAGTACCATATGAAGCACATTATGGCTTCAATCTAGCAAATTAATTTAATTCAGTAAGTATTGAATGTTTTCTACCAGGAGCTATGCCACACGGTGAACATACTAAAAGCTTAATTCTCCCAGGGAGAAATGTAGAAAAATAAGTCAATACAAAATAGGTACAAAGTAAACACAAAACATTTTTTTGGTGGGACATGAGGCATACTGATGACTGAGGGGAATCTGAAAAGACCCAAGAGAGGAGGTAACGCCTAAGCTGAGCCTTGAAGGTTCCAAGCCTAGGAGTTCCAAGAGGGAGAGAAGTCAGGAGAGGGAACATTCCAGGCATGGGGGACAGCATATGGAAAGTCACAGAAGAAGGAGATGTGGTGTTGTGTAGAAGGAATAGCAAATAGACCAGTTTGACTGAAGTATTGGGTATGTGAGGGAGGAGTAATGTATTTTCAGTCTGGAAGGATAGGTGGGAGCCAGATATTAAAGGGCTTTAAATGCTAAACAAAGGAGATTGTATTTTCTGTTAGAGGCAGTAGGGAGCTTTGAAATTTCTTGAGCGGTGAAGTGGCATGATCAGACCTGTGCCAAATATTAATTTGGCAGCTGTGTGGAGGATGGATTGCAGAGGGAGAAAGGCTGGATTCTGGGAGAGCTATTAGAGGTTTCTGTGATAGTCCAGATGACAGGTGGTGAAGGGCTGGAGGTGGTGTGAGTGGAGGGAAGGGGATGGATATGAAAGATGCTGTGGAGTCAGACTGTACAAGATGTAGTAACTGATGTGATGGGGAAGGGGTGAAGGAGGAAAGAGTCAAGGATGACTCCTAGGTTTTGAACCTGGGTAACTGCAAGGATGGTGGAGCTTTCAACAGAAATAGGGAAGTTAGGTAGAAGAATGGATTTTGAGGAAAAGATTATGACCTCTATTTTTTATGGGTTGGGTTTGAGATTTATGATTACAGGATCCACCATCTTATGAGATATCTATGGGACATCCAGGTGGAGGTTTCCTGTAGACAGTTGTGACACAAGATTGGAACTTTTGGGAGTCACAGATATAGAGGATCACTGAACCCATGGGAGCTGATGATAAGTTTACTGATGGACAGAGTAAGAGAAAGAAGGAAAAAAGACTCATGACCAAGCCCTGGCATATGGAGGAGGAGAACCAAGGGGATAGTAGTATCACCAAAACTTATAAAGGAGGTAGTATGCAGGAAAAGGAGGTAGTCAGTAGTGTGAAATGTAGCATAGAGGTCAAGAAGGGTGAGGACTGAGAAAAGGTCACTAGCTTTAACAATTAAGAGATGGTTGGTAACTTTGGGATTATCATTTTCAGTCTAGTGAAGGGAAGGAAGAAAGGAAGGAAGAAAATAGGCATTTATTAAATGCTTATTATGTGTCTAGCACAGGGGTGGGGGGAAGCTGCAGCCTCGAGGCCTTACGTGCCCCTCTAGGTCCTCAAATGTGGCCCTTTGACTGAATCCAAACTTCACAGAACAAATTCCCTCAATAAAAAAAAAATTATTCTTTGGAAAGTGCTGGGGATAAAAATACAAGTGAAAAATAAAGATAGTCCTTGCCCTCAAGTAGCTTACATTCTAACGGGGGAAGGCATCACACAAAAAGCAGGGCACAGAGGGGTGGGAATGAAGGTATCTGGCTGGAAGCATGGTTTTGAATTCTAGAAGTGAGGAGCAGGGTTAGGAGGAGAATGAAGGAAGGTCAGTCTTGTTCCAATTTGCCCATGGGAGAAGGATAGCGGGCCTTGCAGATGGATTTTCCAGAGTTTGTGGGCCATTGGGGCAGTAGATTATTTCCAGACAAGGAAAGTTCCAAGATGAGCCATCAGTAAAGGCCATAGTTTTGAAGTCCAGAGAAAGTTAGGAACAGGGCTAGGACAGTGAGATAATGAGTTTAAAATTAGAAGGTGGCGAAGTGGAAGCAATGAGTATAGCCAACTTTTTTTTAGTATACTAACTGTGAAAGGTAAGAGGGGTGGATGTGATTGTGGCAAACTTGAAAGTCATATAGTTCAATCCTCTCATCTGTAAGATAAGGCATCTGAAGCCCAGAAATGTTTAAATGATTTGTCCAGTGCTATATAGTGAGTTAATGGTTGGGCCAAAACTAGGCTGCAGGTCTCCTGACTCCCATTTCAGCATGCTTTGCCATGGAACTGTTAACAGAATTTTCACTGAGCCATTCTCTAACTTGAGAATGCTTAGAGCTGAACAAAGCAGGCTTAGAGGAGTACCAGTAATTAAGTAGTTTAATTAATCGGTTTCAGAGTGAAAAATGTTCCCTTAGCTGAAGTAAAAGCATGCGTTACATACTTAAACCGCAAGTGGGGAAGGAGGAAGGGAAGAGATGGATTACAAACATTTAGTGGCTTCTCCACGAGAAACCTGTGAGTCCCACAATATAATTCTGGAGTCAAGTCTTTGGGGGTTGTGACCACCTCCCCTCACGTACAGAACAAGAGTTCTATGATGGGAACAAGTTCTACAATCTTTGATTCGCTCTGCTTAAGATCCAATGATGGTGAACACTGACAGAGTTTTGATTAATCATTTCAAGCTGCATTATGAGCTCTGACTCCCAAGCCAGAAAGTGAGCTCTTGAGAAAATGAAATATTAGTATATTCATTACACATATCATATTGACTAATATGAAAATTATAAATTCCTTTCTCAGAACACAAAGACCTACATAGGTTTCTATCTTGGAAAATTGTCAGAAGAGTAGTATCATTATCAGAATTGTGGAACTTGGAAAGAATAGTTGGTTTGGGGAGAGCAGATGATTTGGGGTTAAGGGTGACCCTGGAACATTATATCTAAAGGTAGATGTTCTGTGAGAAGTTGGAAATATGACACTAGAATTCCAGTGAGAGGTTAAGGCAGAAGGTGTGTATTTGGGAGGTACTGGCGCTGAAGTTTTTTTTTTTAATAGTATTTTTTCCTCTAATTACATGTCAAGACAATTTTTAGCATTCACTTTTTACAAGATTTTGAGTTCCAAATTTTTCTCCCTCCCTCCTTTCTTCTCCTTCCGTCTTCTGAAAATGGTAGGCAATTTGATATAGTTTATACATGTGGCACTGAGGTTATAATTGAAGCTAAGCAAGGAGATGAGGCAGCTAGATGACTCATTGGATAGACAGCATTGGAGTCAGGAAGACCTGAGTTCCAGATATGGCCTAAGACACTAGCTATATTACCCTAGGCAAGTCACTTCACCCTGTTTGTCTCAGTTTCCTCATCTGAAAAATTCAGCATCTTTGCCAACAAAACCCAATGGACAGTAGAGTCCATGCAGATTCAGATATGACTGATCCACTAAACAACAACATGCAAGGATATGACAGTTTTAAATATCATAGGATTTAGAGCTAGACCTAAGAGGCAATGTATCCAACCTTGTCTTTTTATGAGAGAGAGAGAAATTGAGTATAGTGGGAAGATGCAACATGTTATTTGCATAGAGATAATAAATGAATCCATGGGAGTTGATCGGTCATCAACTTTGATCGAACTTCTCTGGCTTTCAACCTCGAAAGACTTAGTCCTGCTTTAAGAAATGAGCCCTGCAAGATATTCCCAGCCATTCGGAGGTGCGGGGTTTGGCTTCGGACCTAGATTTCCTGCAGGCTCTTTGGGCAGCCACTCCCACCCTCCGCCCCTGCCCTGCTCTCCTCTGGTTGGAACAGAATCCCGGAGATCAGGACAGACAGAGCTCTACCATCAGGAAGTAAATTACAAAGTAAATTGACCCACTTGGCACACCGTCTCCATCCTTGGCGTCCTTTGTTGCCTAGGATACAGAGGCGGGGACTCTCTCACCATACATGCCCCTCACCTGGACTGCAAAGCCCACGGACTTCGCCAACGCACTCACCTTTGGGAGAGGATCTTGTAAAGTGCAGGTGAAGGAGTCCTAGCCTTACGTAGCCCCTAAGACCCTCGACTCGCCCCTTACCCCTCCATACTCCTCTCCCCCCTAACTGTCCTCCCTCTCCCTTCTCCCAGCCCGGACCATCTGGCTTCTTTCCTGCTTGTGTGGTCCCGCAAACCTGTGACTGACAGGGTTTCTTAAGCTGTAAAGCAGGGGCTCTTAACCTTTTCTGGAAGTCTGGGGCTGCCATATAGATCCATGCATAGAATAATGTCCTTAAATGCATAAAATATATAGGATTTCAGAGGAAACGATTTGTACGGGAATCCAGTTATCAAATTATTAAAAAAAACCAAGTTCATGCCCTCCTTTCCAGTCTAATTAGGGATCCCTTGAGTGGGTAGATAAAGAAAGCTTTCATTAAGCCCTTCTGTGTGCTAGGGACTGTGTTAAGCACTGGAAATATAAATACAAGGAACCTTCAAGTAGCTTACATTCTGAAGTGGGACCCCTGATTAAGAACTCCTGAAGTAGAGAAACTGAGCAAGTATTAATTTGCATCTAGGTCTTCTGACTCCTTAATAAAGCATACATTCCACTGTACCATAGGAGCACTTTCCAAGTTTTGGAAGTAGGCAGTTATTATCTCATTTTGCAGATTAAAAAATTGAGGCTTAACACAGGTTGTGAGTTAGAGTCAGGAATTGAACTCAAGTCTTCAAATTCCACTATACTAGTACAAATTAAGTACCTTAATGGAAATTATATAACTTTGTATTTTCAGCTTTAATATGGAAGACTCAGAAGATGCCTGTTCTAATAAGGTTGGCTGTGTTGGCAATATAGTTCAAGAAAGACATTTAATCCAATCTAAAGAATCAGCATCTCATGTTCAACTTGCTTGCAGTCAACATTATTGTGCTTTCCCTTTAAATGGAAATGAGCTTTGCATATGGAATACCAATGACCCTTTCAATCAGGTATTTAAATCCATGCTATGTGTTTTATGTATACAGAGTATATGGGATATAAGGGATATGAGCAGCTAGGTGGTGAAGTGGATACAGTACTGGCCCAGGAGTCAGGACAACCTGAGTTCAAATGTGATGTCTGATGTCAGACACTTACTAGCTGTGTGACCTTGGGCAAGTCACTTAAACAGGCCCTGTTTGCCTAAGTTTCCTCATCTGTAAAATGAGCTAGAGAAGGAAATGGAAAACCACTCTAGTATCTGTGCCAAGAAAACCCCAAATGGAGTCACAAAGAGTTGGACATGATTGAAATGACTCTATAGCAACAAATGGATATATAATATGTAACATAATATGTTACATATGGTGTTAAAGATTAACAAAATAGATAACATTTTTTAGTAGGAAGTAGGGGAAAAATAGATGGAGCTTTTGAAACAAGCTTCAAAATCTAGAGGTTTTTTTTTTTAGAAGCTCTTACAGACAATGATTGATCTCTTTGAATTTTGTGGGGCATGGCTCTTGGAGTATGAATGGGAATATATGAATTCAATTTAACATTTGGTTACTAAGTACTTAGTATGTGCTGGGTACTTCTAAAAATAGTGCTCAATCAAATACTATTGAGAAATATTAAATTTTAGAAGTTTTGAATTCTTATTTTTTTGTTTCAAATATTATGTAATGATGTATAATTGATATGTGTTGAATGTTTTTAGCCATTACACTTGACAGGCCATCATCAGTCAATTACTGCTGTGACATTTGGAAACAGAGTTAATCCACTTCTTGTCTGTTCTGCATCTTGTGACTATGTTATAGTTTGGAACCTGGTGGAATGTGGAGAAAGAGTACTAGAAGGTAAATGTGTATATTGTGTACATATGTTATAGATGCTTTTAAAAATAAAAATTTGTTCTTAAATGTATTTTGGTAATATAAAATATTTAGATTGACATACTACTTATTTTGTATATTCTTTTGTGGTCATTGCTTTTAGTCAATATACAAGTCATTTTGAGAGATAAAAAGAAAAATGAGCCATAGTCCTCAAATCAAGGAATTTATAGTATATTTGGGAAGATGAGATATAAATACCTCTGATTGCAGAGTGTGGAGGCTGGCCATTGGAGAGCTCCTCCTAGACCCACTACTTAAGAAGGGGGCCCAGAGCTGCCACCTTTTCATTCCCACCCTGTACTCTGGATCCTTGTATAGTCTCTAGTAACTCACCTTCCTGCAAGACTACATCAACTCAAAGTCACTCCTCCTCAGTACCCTGTGGCCCTGGGAACATAATAACTTACTGCAAATTCCCATTCCACTCTAGTATATCAGTAGTGGAAGGGCTCCTAACATATTTGGGCCTCTCAAAATACAAGGTTAATATTGGAAGAAGGCAATAGAGTCAGGAAGATAAATATGAATAGGAGAGGAAAGTGAAAGGAGCATAGTAGAATTCTTTGCTATAAAATTGAATTTTCAAACCTAAACCAAAGGCCCTTTGGCTCCCAAGCTTTTAAATATATGGTGCAATCTCAAAGAGAATAAACCTTCAGTCAGAAGTTAGAACCTGCCTTGAACCTGATATCTCTTGGCCTTTTCAAGATGATCAGCTAGATTATTTGAGAAAGAAGCATTGATATACATACATCCATATATAAATGTGTATTTGTATGTGTGTATACACACACATAGATACACACATACATATACATATATAACATATATATATATATACACACACACACATATGTACATATACACACATCTTCTGGCCTAGGAATACAATATCTTGAAAGCATGCTATACCAATTAGATTGGTCTGACCTTTTGAATTTGTCCATTATGTAAATTAGCTTGTGACTTTCAAGTTTTACATATTTTCTTTCAAAAACAAATTTGAACTGTGTAATTTTGTCCTACCATGGAAAAATGTGCACAAAATGTGGATTCTGCCAACAAAAATGGGTCAGGAAATGCTGGATGGCAACATAAATAATCTATTAATATTTCTGACCTGTGGTATGATTTCTGAATTGAATAATCTAAACTGATAATAATTTGTATGTCTGAATACTTCACATCATCAAAACTATTTTGAATACTTCACATCATCAAACTATTTAATCTGATGAGACCAATAGGGATATTTATATATAGGAAGTTATCAAATTAGTAATGGGTTGAGTTCCAAAGTTGATCCAAATTGGGAATAGTTTCTCTTTAGAAACGTATTATATTTGGTGATAGATTTCCAGGCCATACAGAGAAATATATGTAACTGATTGCATAGTATTTCTGGTTTTAAATAACCCAACCACCATGTATAACAATGATTCTATGGAAATATATGCTCAGAGGTCTAATTTGAGATTCTCCACAAATGTCCCCATGCTGCCAGCCCTGGTCATGGTTCCCCCACTTTAAGCTGGTTTCAAGGACAGGAGAAGCTGGGGGTAGCGGTAGTAGGATGGGAGTCAGGAGTTCATGAGCTGGGATGGGATCCTTTGATTGAGTTGTTGGACAGGGAATAGGGGTAATGAGAAACTGGGATAAGGGCAGTAGGAATGTCTGAGGAAGGAAGTACAGGCTAGATGATAGAGGTAAGGGGTCTAACTTCCATATCTCCTCATAAGGTAGAGCCCAGTTCTTGGTTGGAACAGTGGAAGGGTGGAATAGTTCATCAACATTGGGGGTCTTATGGCAGAACTGGGGTACAGAAAACCCTTTCCATTTTTTTCTTTTTTTCTTCCAACCTTTTTTTTTCTTTCCTCCTCCTCCTTCTCTCTCTCTCTCTCTCTCTCTCTCTCTCTCTCTCTCTCTCTCTCTCTCTCTCTCCTTACTTTGTGTTTTGCTTTTAACAGGGTTGTTGTCGTTTAGTTGTTTCAGTCGTGTGTGACTCTTTGTGACCCCATTTGGGGTTTTCTTAGCAAAGAAACTAGAGTGGTTTGCTATTTCTTTCTCCAGCTCATTTTACAGATGAGGAAACTGAGGCAAACAGGGCTATGTGACTTGCTTAGGGTCATACAACTAGTAAGTTTTTGAGGCCAGATTTGAACTCATGAAGATGAGTCTTACTGACTCCAGGTCTGGCACTCTATCCACTGCCACCTAGCTGCCTTTTTAATATGGAGTGGGGGAATAATTGTAATTGGTATAAAATGAAGAAGCTATGGTAGGATAAAGTCTACTTCTTCCAATCTACTCATGGCCCTCTTTCTTCCCTCTCCCTCCTCCTGCTACCATCTTACCTGACCTTGTCCAAGAGGTGAGGTGGAAAAGAGGGTACCAGGACCAACGTGGTTGGTATCCCAGGCAATGGCATAGTCTACAGTGGTTATTAGGAAGAGGAGAAAATCTCCAGCCATGGCTGTGGGGAGAAAAGAATAGTTCCTGGGGTGGTCTGACTAGAGTTTGGGCACTGGCATTTGTGTATGAGGAATGTAAATAAGTGAAGGAATACCTTTTTTCTAGGGTTTTTAGCCTGGGGTTCATGAACCCTGTGAGAGGTCTGTAGATAAATTTTAAGAGGTCTGTGAACTTGGATGGGAAAAAGTTTCCATCTCCACATTTACTAGCCTCTAACAAACTTAGCATTTCCTTCATTTGTGAATTTAAAAAGCAGTATTCTGAAAAGGGTTCAGGCTTCACCAAATTATTAATAGATCTACAAAACAGGAAAAAAAAGGTTAAGAAGCCTTGCTTTATTTCCTTAAAATTTTTGGAATTTTGAGTGATTTCTTTAATGGGGCAAGAAATGAAGTGACCAATAATGGTTCTACTCAGCTCTGCTTTTATTGATGTAGTGATCATCTAAGAAGAAACAAGAAGATATTTCATTTATAAAATAAAGAGAATTCTTAGTGGGGAAAATGCTGCATTTTAATAGTTGATTTACTTGATTAACAATTCTTATGCGTTTTCATGGAAAGCATTAGACTAAAATGAAGTATTACTCCTAGAATATGGTTTTGTTGGTTAGTTCCAGTTGCACCTGCTTTAATTTTTCATTGATATACTTTGATATAAATATCAAATTTGGAAAGAGAATTTTCTGATTAGCCATATTTAATGAAGGCCCAGATCTGTGCCAGACTTATAAAGGCCTTTATGTCCAGTGTCAATTCAGATTTTATATTTGAACCTAGAGAATTAGATTTAATTAAGATTGTGTGAAAATAAGATTATTGGTATGGTCCATTTTATAAAAATGTTGATCGATTAAAAATTTTCTGAGTGTAATATTTTATTTTAGAAAGAACCATCAAAGGTGTTCCCTCTAGTAAAATTCTTTTACTATAGTAACTTCAAATAAGAGGAGTTCTTGAATTAGAATAACTTCAGGGGAAGCTTTGCATGTTTGTTCTATAACCCAACTAAGGATGTAAAATGGCATTGGGGCTCAGTGCTTTTGTTTTAAAAATCATCTGGGATCAGCAAATTACATTATTTTATTTTCTCATAATTTAGACTACTTATGCTAATTTTTGCTGACAGCAGTTTATTAATTGGTATTAATAATAAAAATTGTTACAGGGTTAACTCCTCGAGGAGATGTCAGAGGAACTCTTTTGGGAATGGTGCTTTATGTGAGATTTAGTCCAGATGACCGTATTATTGCAGTGTGTGCTGGAAATAAGATACTCATGCTTAATGCTAAGGTAAGACTTTTAACATTATATAGTGATTAGAATCATTTAAATCTGATGGATTTCTATGGATATAAGATCCTGTATGTTAAAAATTCTATAATGTATTTTAAAGAAGTTTAAACCGAGAGGCTTGGAAATGTATTCTCATCTAACCTTTATAGGACTAGTAGAATCTACTACTACTACTAGTACTCCTACTACCACTACCACTACCACCACCACCACCACTACTACTGTTACTACCACTACAACTACAGTTATTACCTTTACTACTAGAATCTTCCTCCTCCTCTTTCTTCTTGTTCTCCTTCTTCTTCTCATCCTCCTTTTCCTTCTCTTCCTCTTCCTCTTCCCCTCCTACCTCCCAGGGCTATTCCGAGGATAAAATAATTACAAAATTTAAAATAGTTAGATAATATCTATAAAGTGCTTTGCAAACCTTAAAGTGCTCTATCAATCCATCAACATTTATTTAGTACCTACTGTGTGCCAGCCGTCAAGGAGCTCACAGTCTATCAGGGGAGACTGCAAGTAAGCAAATATGTACAAACATTATATACAGGATAAATAGAAAATAATTTTAAAAATTAAAATAATTAAAAGAGGAAAGGCACTCGAATTAAGAAGGGTTGGGAAAGGCTTCTTGTAGAAGATGAATGCTGTGACTGAGCTGCTAAGATGAATTATTATTATTATTGTTGTTACCACAATGTGAGATTCTGAGTTCATTGTTTCCTACTCCATTTTGGGTGCTTCATTTTTTCCCTAGATAGTGGGGTAATATTGGTAAAACACTGGCTTCTTCACTCTGCCACACTAAATAGCTCTTGCTGTGTGACTCTAGACAAATAATTTTAAGTGAACTGCAGTTAAGAGAGATTTGTCAGATGAGGAGTTGGCCCAGATGATCACTAAGTTACCTTCCCATTCTGGCAGGCTATGTAGTCATTGGCTTGAGTCTGAGCTCCTCCACTTGGGCCTTTTTGACCCTGGGCAAATCAGCTGAGCCATCGGATGCTCAGTTTTATCACTTTCCAAATTGGGATAAAAGTCCCCATGCTGTCTGCCGCACAGGGTTGTACCTGGTTACAGGATCACAGGCTTATGGATGAGGGACCTCAGTGGCCATCTAGTACAACCCACTCCTGAAAGAGAATCCCTATTCCACCACAGAGGGAGTGTGGTAAAATGGAAAGCATGCTTGATTTGGAATTAGAGGACCTGGTTTGAATCTTGTCTCCCTTACTTGCTACCTATATGATCCTGGGCAAGTCACTTAGCCTCTCCAGGCCTCAGTTTCCTCACCTGTAAAAGGTTGAGGTTGGGCCAGATAGGCTCTGAACTAATTCCATTACAGCTTTGAAAAATAATTCTGTGATTCTGTAATCCTTACAACCCTACAGAACAGGGACTTTAAAAAAAATGACATTATTATTGTTATAACAAGCCTTCAGCAAAATGCAAATATTGTATTCCTAAGAGATTAATAATCACTATTACTTTTTTATGTACATAAAACAATTATTATCATGGATCTCACTTTTAATTACCCATCGGAAAGGAGTCTTTGGAGGGAATGGGGTATGAGCCAGATATATATTGATGGGTGTTCGGGGAATGGGCAGGAAAGGTTTAGAGAAGAGGTTTGAGAACTGCAGTAGGGAAAGTACCCTGATAATCTAGAAGACAGCAGGAGAAGAGTAGGCAAAAGTAGTGAGGGAGGAGGTCACTTAAGGCAGAGCTGAGATGACAGGTACTTTGTAATTTTCCTAATGTTAGCCTTGTTAGTAGTTTATCATTACTAATAATTTATACCCTATGATCCCTGTTACTTCTTTCTAACTCTGATGTTGATTCATAGACTCTATTCAAATTCTAAAGAATTTGGGGAAGGGAGTTTTGATAGCAGTCAAAGTAGAACAAGAATTTTACTGTAAATGTTTCTTCTGCTACATATATGAGATACAATTAAATAATGAGAATTACAAAAATAAATTATGCTAATGAGGTTTCTCTCATCAATTATTCCAGTTTGAAACTGTATTAGCTGAGCTGAAAGGTCATGTTGGCCCGGTCACTGCAGTTGAATTTTGCACCTGGCAAACAAATATAATAATATCAGTGTCTGAAGACAGAGGCTTTAAGGTAAGGATATGACTCATTAAACTACTTTTTAAATTGATTTTTTAAAGAGTAGAGAGCCTCCCCCTTCCTTCTAGAATCATGAAATAACAAAAAGTTGGTTCACTGGATGTGTCAAATTGAACCTATTTAAACAGATCTGATGTCTGTTTAAAGCAGTCTAGTTTGGGTCAAATTCACTCTCAGACTGGATTAGGTTTCTGGTTAAAGTGTTTGGGCTTGGGCCTTGATCTAAGGGACATTCTGGTGACTGGGTCATTTCTGGAACCTGCTGGGAGTTGGTTTTCTTTGCAGTTCATTCACTGGAAATTTCAGACTAGACTGAATACATTATCTCATACTAGCTGCTACAGTGTCTCTCCTTTGGGTAGGTACACCATGGGAGTGGAGAATAGTTGGAGTCGATTTGGATTACCTGAGAAAGCTAGTTAAGAATGAAGCCCACTCAGAGGGATGAATTTAGATCAGAACCTATCTGAAATCAAAGGTTTCCAATTGGTTTCCTTGGTAACATAATAAAAAGTAGCAAATTGGAGTTAGCATATGTTTACATTTCCTATTTATAATTTGCTATTTAATCTTGGAAATACATTTATACTCTACTTCAAATATAACATAGCTCAGCTAAACTTATTCTGCTTTGGGGAAGTTTCTAGTCTTGTCATCTTGTCCTGTTTCCTGTTACTTTCAAATATACAAGCTACTGTTTCTTGAGGTGTCATTTGCATTTTTCTATATTGATTCTTTGATGTTATTTTTAACAAGTGTTCTTATGATTTTACTATTTCTATCCTGGATTTTCTTACTATTTTTTCATTCTTTCTATCTTTATCCTTAACACCTAGCTCACTGCTTGGTACATTGTAGTCACTTAATAAATATTTGTTGATAAATTCTCTTTATGACTCATATTATTTTTCTACTAGCTAGCAACTGGCTTAAGATATGGTATATGTTGTAAATATTTTCGTATAATTTTATTTTATGAAAGCCTTCCAAGTTCTGATATTTTCTAAAATATATATGTGTATATATATTTCTCTAAAGGTCTGGGATCACTGTACTGGATTATTATTATACAATTCAGCAGTACTAACAGGTAAACTTGTACATTTCAAAACTTACTATATGATTAAGTTTCTGATTAAAAGTATCAAGAATGCTAAGCCAGCTTCAAGGGAAAAATGCCCCTCCTGAGGAAATGGCAGTGGAGGGTAGATAGGGGAAGAGGAAACTTTTTCAGAAACACATATGAGAGTATTGAATGATGTGACTATCTTTTCAGACCACTTTTGAGTGATCAGAATGAAATAATGTATGTGCTTGCCTATACATATTTGTTAAAGGGTGTAGGGTTTTTTTTCCCTAATGGGAGGGAGAAATAGGAGAGAAGGTCAATTTTTGTTAATTAAAAAAATGTTAGAAAATAAAATATCACTTGATTTAATTGAGTTATTGCTTTGATTAGAGATGGAAGTCAAATAGTAGGTATTGATATGCTCAGTCACATGAAGCAATTGACGTTATTTCCTTCCCCAATCATTTCTTTGGTGTATAGGCCAGAACATAGTGTTTGTGAAGGGAAAAATAGGAATTGGCTGAAGTATGGATTGGAGCCTAGTTGTGGAGGGCTTTAAATGCCAGAGTGAAAGTTTGTGTGTTTTCTTAGAGGCAATAGAGAACCTCAGAAGGTTTTCTAGCAAGGCAGTGGCATGGTCCAGAGGAGTGCAGCCTGGTGGGAAATGAAAAGATGGCAGCCTGGGTGCCCTTCTGAATGGAAGTTCTGGAAGGAGCTCTCCACTCTCCAGTTAGAGGGAGGGGCCTGCAGGGCAGAGGGCATTTCCAAAGTGTGATATGTGTGATAATGCTTTTATTAAATTTCTTAGAATTAATGAATTAAAATTATTTTAATATTCATTTATTTAATGAATACTAAGAATCTGTCCCATATAGGGCTTTTTGCTAAGCATTGGGCATGATATAAAGTTTAGGTAAGACAGGGGCACTCTAACCTTTCTAGCTTTGGCATACCTGAATTGATGTGTCATCTTTTTACTTGAGACTTCTCTTACGTCCATGCACTTTTAAAATGAGTAGAATACATGGAAGTGAATGTTGAAAACTAAAACTAAATAAATAAACTTATAACAAAATGAGTAGAATTCATTCCAAGTGTTTTTAAATAACTCCTTTTTGGGGGAAATTTAATTTGCTTTCTTATTCAACCTTATTTAAAAGAAAATAGAGCAAAACCAAAACTATTAATGTTTTTATCTTAAAATATATGTACCTTCAAATACAGGTAATTATCTTCTTTTGAATAGCATATCCTCTTTTAAGTTTATTCATTGATGAAGAAAAGGAACAATTTATTACTGGGAGCGCTGATGGTCAGGTGAGAAAATCATTTAAAAATATTTAAGTATAAACTATTGTTAAGCTCACACAAGATTCTCCATTTCCCAACTTTGTGCATTTTTAATGGCTTTCTCTATGCTTGGAATTTTCTTTCTCTTCATCTCTAGCTCCTGATTTTCCTGGCTCCCTTCAGGTCCCATCTAAAATCCTATCTTCTACAAGAAGAGTTTCCCTCTTCCCTTTATTGCTAGTGCCATGTCTCCATTGATGGTCCCCATTTTATCCTGTATATATCTCATATGTACATAGTTGTTTGCATGTTGACTCCCCTAATAGACTATGAGATCCTTGAAAGCAGGGTCTTCCCTTTGTATCTCCAGCACTCAACATAGTTCCTGCTTAATAACTATTTGTTGACTAACTGACTAACATGAAATTATATATAGAAAAACTGCATGAGGCAAACTTTCCCTGTTGAAAAAGGTGCCTAAAATTGTCCCGTAGGTTATGGTCTTAACCAGACCCAGTTGCTCAAGTCTCTAGGACTGAAATCCTAGTGGAGCCATACTGGCCTGATTTCACTTAGATTTGGGATCTAAATTTAGATAAGAAAAGTAAAATTGTATGATAGGGATTTTGAGACTGACTGAAGAAACTCCCTCAGGGAATATTCAAATATAGTTAATGGAGATGACTGTTCATTCAGCTTTGTATTTTGTACTACACTTTTTATTACTTAAATTACCTATCTCAAGTGAATGCAAGTTGGTGGCTGACAGGAGGAACTATATCAGTCTCATCTCTGGGGATCTGGCAAACTGAACTCAGCGAAATCAAATCTGATACATCTAAAGTTTTTGGGAAGATATGATGTGTCTATTTGCAAAGATAGAATGACATAGGGATGATTTTAGCAATTAGAATGTTATTGGATTGAGTGAAATATACTCTTGAGTTTAAACTGATAGAGAAACCATTTTCATAGACCTTCATAAACCTACTTAACATGTGTTCCTTTGGCAGCTCTCTCCCCTGACCCCCTTCAACTGAAGCCTGAGAGAGCTTAAGTGACTTGTCCCACATCACTCAGCTGGTAGGGGTGCCAGGACTCCTGCCAACATCTTCTGACTATAAGCCTAGTGCTCTTTTCACTACATTTAATGAAAGTGCATCACTTAATAATAATGTCAACAATGACGATGACAATAACAACCACCCCCTCAAAGATCAAACCATTGTCAATGTCATGGAGTGGGAGGATGGCAAAGGAAGGGAATGCCAGTCAAGGCATTGTGCAAGCAGAAACTGTATGTGCCCTGAGACCACTGTGATAGCTCTGAAAGCCTGGCAGGAACCCAGAAACTTTGGTGACCCCATGAATTGGGTTAACAACCTGACCAGCATCCTTCTTTACCTGTTAAAAAATGCTTCTGTGCCTATGACCCTGATTAGAAAAGTAGATAAACCATAAGTGTCCATGAAATGGACTGAAGACATGAATGATATCATTATGTGACGGTACTAATCGTAACAGAATTGGAAATATCTCACCAATTATAGACGAGAGATTCTTATTGTGTTTTTGTTAAGTATGCAGTCAGTTTTCAGATTTACACAATACGTTGCTGACTAATGCATAATCATAAAAATCATAAAAATGGTTTAATAATAAAAAGCAAAACAACCCTCCCCCAAACCAACACTTCATCTTCAAGACTAGATTAGATGAAATAAGCTATGAAATTGAAGGCTCTGAAAAGGGAGAAGATGAAGATCCTAAAGTCATTAAAAATCTTTATCTAGTGCCAATTCAAGAATTATACCTAATAACTAGATGTGGCGGCATATACCTGTGGTCTCTGTGGCTGAGGAGGCTGAGGCTGACAGATCCTTTGCTTGGGAATTCTGAGCTGTTGGGAGCTAAGTCAGTTGGGTGTCTTCATGGTTTATCATTAATGTGGTCAGTCTCTGGGAGTTCATAATCAAATGGAAGGAAACAAACTCACCATCTAAGGGGTGAGACAACATGCATTCAATTATGAACAAACAAGATGTATACAGTGTAAGTTGGAGGTAATCTCAGAGGGAATTCACTAGCCCTGGGAAATATCAGGAAAGACCTCTAGTGGAGTGGTGGGATTTGAGCTGAGTCTTAAAGGAAGCCAGGGACTCATGGGTCAGAGATGAGTAAGGAGAATATTCCATGTGTAGGGTCAGTCACTAAAAAGCCATGGAGCTGGGAGTTGGAGTGTCTGTGAGAGGAACAGCAAAAAGACAAGAATCGCTGGGTTAAAGAGTATGTGGAGATGAGTAAAGTGCCAGAAGACTGAAAGGCCAGGTCACGAAGGACTTGAAAAGCTAAACAATGGTTTTTATATTTGTTCTTGGAGGTAAGAGGGAGCCGCAAGAGTTTATTGAGTAGGGAAATGCACTGCAAGTACCTGTATAAGGTATTAATGCCCCATTGTATTTATTGAATGTGACTGAAAATAGTTCAACCATGAATGGAGTTTGTGAAACTGCTAAAATCCAGTAACATAATAATAATAATAATAATAATAATTTAAAAACCCATCCATGGGGATAGAGAAGCATTGATTAAATGGTTAAGCCATGCCTTTTTATTTGTGGAAATGGAGAGATTTATGATGGTGATTCAGAGCTAGGACATTACCAGCAGAAATTATAGAAGGGTTATTCCTATGGAGCGTAGACTTAGTGATCCATGTAGATTATACAAGGAAAGGGCAGAAACTGTGTAGCACATCACCACAGCCATAGAAGTAGATTAGATACACAATACACAGTAGCAAATGACCATGGTAATCTAGTGTTTAATAATCCCAAAGACCCAAGCTCTTGGGACAGGAACTCACTATTTGACAAAAATTGCAGAGAAAAGTGGAAAGCAGTTTGGCAGAAACTAGGTATAAACCAGCATCTCACACTGTAAACTGAGATGAGGTCATAATGAGGACATGACTTAGACATTAAGAGTAATATCATAAACAATTAGGGGAGCATGGAAAATTTTACCTGTTGCATCTATGGATAAGGGCATAATTTATGGCAATCTAAGAGATAGGGAAGATCATGGGAAGTAAAATAGATAATTTTTACCACATGAAATTAAAAAGTTTTGCACAAACAAAAACAATGCAGCTAAGATTAAAAGGAAAGCAGGAAACTGGGAAAAATTTTTTATAGCAAGTTTCTCTGAAAAAGGCCTCATTTCTCAAATATATAGGGACTGAGCCAAATTTATAAAAATAAGAGCCATTCCCCAGTTGGTAAATCATCAAAAGATATGATCAGGCAGTTTTCAGAAGAAGAAATCAAAGCTATCAATATTCACATGAAAAAATACTCTAAATCACTATTCATTAGAGAATGCAAATTAAAACAACTCTGAGGTACCACTTTACACCTATCAGATTGACTAACATGACAGAAAAGGAAAATGATAAATGCTGGAGGGGATATGATTTTACTCACCTGAGCAATAGTCTCTAAAATGTTGAATATAAAGGGATAATTGCAGCATAGCACCTTGTTCCAGGGCTATTTTTTATCTGAACCTCATTGAAAAAATGAAAATGAGATAATAACAATAGTAAACATAATATTGCAACACCTAAAATAAATATGTCAGGCAGCCTCAGAAGAAACTGAGAAATCTTCTAAGGCTTTGGTTGACTACTAAATAAAGAGAGAATCTTAAAATGAAAGCAAGTGTGGAATAAGAATTTAAAGGAAAATTACACTAAGGAGGTGAAGCAGTATATCTCATGAAGTTATTTGGTCTCGAGTTCTTTATCACATTTAGATAGGAATTTTTTTTTATTAATTTATTTTGAATTAACAACAATCATTTCCATAGGCTAGAAATGTTTTTTCAAATAACTTTGTCCAACATCTTGTGTATCTGTATATGTTTTACCTTTTTAGATTTGGATCTTCAGTCTGATCAATGCACATCATTATCGTTGTGTGGCCCAATTTGACCTAAAGAAAAAACAAGAGATTTTCCTCAGTAAAAGGGTCAAATTAGCACAACGTATCCAAACAGGTAATATTTCTAGAGTACTTATATGTGTCTTGCCTTCGTGCATTTATGAGCAAAACTTATTGAGTGCTTGTTGTGTGCAGAGGTTTAATATGATAAAAAATTAAATAGAAGACACAATGCCATACTTAGGACAAATGTGAAAAATACAAAGAAAACATACAAACATGTATAAATTGATTCTCTTGTGCAACAGCATTTGTGCTGAAGGTTTGCCTGAATGATTAGAGTTAGGTAGGTAGACTTAAGCAGCATAGAGAAAGAGGGTCAGAGCTTAGCAGAGAGAAATTAGGAAAACATTCTAGGGACAGTAACAAATATGAAGTGTTGAGAACATCTGTATAATAAAATGGTGGCTTCAGGAGTCTGTGAGAGTCTGACCCTGATGGTTGTGCTGCATAAAGTCTGCTAAATAGACAAGATCTCTCAAAGAGGACTTTTCAAGCAATAACCTTCAAATAGGTCATGTGAGAGAAGAGGGAATTGGCAGTGTAGTAAGAGAAGCCAATAGAGTGTTGACCTCAACAAATCTGACAAATCAACACTCTGAAATGAAGATGGCATATTCTTCCTTAGATGTAAGGCCTTAATGAAGCATTCATTCCTAATTGAATTTTACTCTGTGCAAGCACTATGGAGAGTACAAAGATCAGTAAGAGAGTACCACTTTCCCCTTGTATTACATTAGGTGAGTTATGGTCTTCGGAAATAACCACAATACAGGGTAATAAGGAGTAAGGCCCATGTGTGCCTTGAAATGAAGTGTTTTTGTAATTTAGAGGAGAGGTGGTTTTTTTTTTTTTTGCTAGAGGTTATAGGAAATTTATCTCTTAAGAAAGATATGGTCTGAGTAATCATCAAGCTCTCTTGACCTCTAATGGGTATGCCTAAGAGACCGGAAGGGCTCAGAAGCTTGATGTCAAAAGGACACAGCTGTTGTTTTCCTGGTGACAAAGTGATTGCTACTCATTCCTTTATATTTCTGGCTCTAAAACCTCAAGCAGCTGATGGTACAGTCCAATGTACATGATGTTTCTTAGATAGAGACTTGCACAACATAGAGGAATGTAAACTTGGATATAAGCAAAGATATATGTTACCAGATTTCCTAAAGCAGCATTGCTATGCTACCAAGAGATTTCACTTTCCTATTTTGCCTTCATTCCTTTTAAAACACAAAGCCTGTTTCATATAGCATAATGGGTCAACCAAGGAACCCAGACACCCAGGCTTTTCTTCCTTTTGCATGCAATAATCAGGCAACCTTTGTGTGGGAGAGGCTGATGCCTTCATTAGGGCGACTGGGTTCTTCCCAAAGAACAGCTGCTCTGCCTCTCTAATTGTCATAATGGTGGTGAATGAAGGAGATAATTTTAGTTGGTGCAGAAGGGTATACTGGTTAAAGTATGAAGGACTGATGACAGACCTAGAAAGAGGGAGATTGGGTTACCACAGACAGGTGAGACGTGATTAGAATATAGACTGAGCTTTAGTTGTGTAAATAAATAGAAGCAGACTGAGTTATTTTTAAAGTAGTAGCAGGATTTCACAAAGAACTAAATGAAGGGTAGTGAGTAGTCGAAGATGAACTTAAGGCTTATTGTTTAGGAGTAGTTTAAATGTTGTTATCTGCTAAAGGAATTCATATGCTTCCCAAAATGTCTAATATAAACCAAGTTTATGTGATCGCAAACATAATATTTGGAAAAGAAAAACATGGTTGAATTGGTTTGCCATAGACTATATTAGTGACCAGTCTAATCTGCCATTTGATTTTGGTTTCTGATCAAGAAAGAGCCATTCATTTGAGAGAAGCAATATTTTGTTTTACTCTGACCACTTAATCATGGTTTGACAAGAGAAACCAAATAATTCCATTCTTGCTTCAGGGAAGTTGATGTGGATGAGGAAAATATACAATTCTCCCTTCTTCACTGTAGGAGCCTGCAATTCTAGGATTTCAATGAATCAGAGTATGACAGTTTCTTCTGTCCCTGCAAGTATAGAAATAGTCATTTTGTATATGTTCAATTTGAATACAAATAGAGTTTTGATGATGCTAATTATATACATTGGATATTAAATCCTGAAGTCACTGATTCATTCCCCCTCGTGCCTCAAACCAAAGCCATAACCAAAAAACCAAACCAAACCAAACTGAACCAAAACTGGGCAGGAGAGGAATTATTGTCTTATCTTTTCCTGGTCCTGGAAGTTAGCTAGCCTGAGAGGTACATGCTGTTTTGAACTTCTAAGAACTTGTAGGGGTGTTATCTTCTACATGCCTTGAGCTCTTTGCATTTTATATTTTAATACAGTCAAGACATTGGAATCTCATTTCATATGATCATTAAAATTTTGCTAATCTTTGAGAATTACTTTTGATTCTGTTTTCTAGAAGAGAGTCAACCCTTCTACAAAAATGACCTGAAAAAAGAAGAAAGGGTAGAAACAGCATATCCTATATTGAGAATCGAACGCTGTGCTCAGTCAATTAATGAAGAGTGTGAATTGTAAGTATGAAGTCCTTTGATAATGTCATGTAAAGGAAGACATTATAATCTCATAGAACATCTACCAAAAACCCTTTTTTTTCAGTGGGTGATATAGAAAGGAGATGATTAAAATAAAATTGGAGTATTTTCTCTTCTGAATAACCATTTATAGTTTTAAGAATGCATTTTTATTTATATAATAGGACTTTTTGCAAAGGGAAAAACAAAGCTATAAATCCTTCTACTAGTTTTCCTTTTGTTGGATTGTGTTTAAATATGAGAAGAGTATTCACTTTGAAAATTTCATATGAAGAAGTCCCTTATTTTAGTGTACTTTTTTTTTTTTGGCTAGGCAGTGAGGTTAAGTGACTTGCCCAGGATCACACAGCTAGTAAGTGTTATATATCTGAAGCCAGATTTGAACTCAGGTCCACTTGACTCCAGGACAGGTGCCCTATCCACTGCGCCATCTAGCTGCCCCTAACAACTCACTCACACACTCTCTCTCCCTCTCCCTCTCCCTGTCCGTCTCCCTCTCTCTCCCTCTCTCCTTTTTCTCCATATAGGGTGACCTTGATGTGGAGGTGTGGGAAAGTCACCTCATTTTCTTTGAGACTTAGACTGCTCCCATGTCAAATGAGGTGGTAAATGTGGGGTTGGACTAAATGACTTAGAAAGTATTTTTCAGTTTTAAAGCCTTAATATCTTTGAGGGAGCTACACAATGGTGTCAGAGAGACAGCATGATACAGGGGAAAGGGGATTGTTTGAGAAATCAGGAAATGTCAATTGTCGTTGACTCCTTTTGCGATTGTGGGCAAATACTTTTATCTGATTGTTATTTTAGAAGTTATATTTTTATAGAAAACATTTAAAAATGTTTAGTAGTATATGGGATACACATTCTGCTATCCATGCCATCAAGAACTTTTCTACATGACTTCCATGCCTACGTTTTCCATGTTGTTTCAAGTTTTGTTGCCATTCATAAAAAAAAATTATGACAATTAGTTTGTAGCAGGTACCTGAGTTGTAGCCATAGTGGCTAGGAAGAATTAACTAGTCTCTCTAAGACTTATATTGACATATATCAAGAATTGAGTGAGGTTGTCAAGTTATTAAGAGACGATATTTTACCTTAAAAGTTTTAACTTAGTGCTTAGAATTGAGGCTTAACTGAAAGTTTCAACCATTGTGGAGAGTTGAAAAAATTGTTCAATGACTTTTATCAAGGCTGGGGTTTATATTTATTTCACAGGCTAGTAACTTTTACTTAGGGTGATCTCCCTCCTGGAGGAGAAAGTAAAGGGATTTGCAAACAGCTGTCCAGACACCTGTGCTAGGGAAAGTATTCCTAAAGGAAAGTGACATGAGGCTTCAATGAGAAAAAAAGAAAGTAATCTAAGGTAGTAGAGAGGACACTTGACCCTTGTCAGAATATTGCAGAGAGAACTAATGTTATAAAGAGGAGAAAAATCAGCTGTACGATAAAAGCTCAAAAACAGACTTGAGGCTCTTCCTGAAGAATGAGAGGGTTGGATGGTCTGAGGAGAAGAAGAAGTTGTTTGTCCTCCAAAGAAGGAGATAATAGAGCCACAGAAGCTGCCAGGTGAAAGGACACCAAATAAGGGCAGGAGGAAGAACAGAAGAGTACTAGTTAATTGTTAATTACTTGATGAGAATTGAGGCAGTTATTTGTTGAGCTGATAAGAACAAAGAGAGGTCTATTATCTTCTTGGAGCATGTATCTGAGATATAACAGAGAACCTCTGAAGACTTGTCAAAACAGATGACAACTTCCTACTTCTGATTCATATGATTGATGTGGGCACAAATGATACTGCCAGAAGAAACTTAGAAAAATATTGCCAATGATTATAAAGTGTTAGACAAGAAACTGAAGATTATATAGGTGCATATTGTGTTTTCCCTATTGATGTCCAATGGAGGAGTGGTAAGTGGAAGAGAAAAAAAAAATTTAGAAGTAAACAACTGACCTAAGAAAGTGATGTCTGAGAATGGCATTTGGACTTTTGGACCATATCTTTAATTATAGAGATGACAGATTATTGGCCAGAGATGGAGTAACAAAGGTTGGTACAATATACGTTTGCTAGGTCTCTTGCAAATATAATCATATGTGCTTTAAACTTAAAAGAATGGGGACTGGAAAAGATTGATCATGTATATCTCTTAAGCTTAATACTATAGAGAGTAGCATAAAAAAAGAAAAGGAACATGAATAGCAATTAAAAATCCCATGAGTTTGAAGGAGACAAAAATCCAAGAAAGGAAATAGTAGTGACACAAAACCAATGGCCTCAAATGACCATATCTGCCAATGCCCAACATTTAGGCAACAAAGAAGAGAGATCAGAGGTCATGACACAGGCAGGCAAATGTAACTTCATAAGTATCACTGAAACTTGGTAGAATGGAACTTGTGACTGAGCAATGTATTATTTGAAAGGTCATGGAAAATGGGAGAGGCACCACTAAATTGGAGAAAGTAAAATGTCGTGTAGTATTGAATTTCAAGAAAGGAGAGACAACAGCGCCTATAAACTATAGATACTGAGTTTCACTCTGATTCTTGAGAAAATTCTAGAATAGATCATTATGGAGATAATTGTCTAGAAAAGAAAGCAGCAATAGCAAAGAGTCAGCCTGACTTCAAAAGCAACCCATGCTAGAGTAACCTCACCTCCTTATTTGACAGGATTATTAAACTAGTAAATAAGATGAATGTCGTGGGTATAGTTTAACTTAGATTTTACCAAAGCTTTTGATAAAGTAATTCATACACTTTATGTGGAGAAGATGGAGAGACAGGGTTTGACCAGGCGTGGGGGACCTGTGAAGCCACATGTGGCCTAAATTTGTTCCGTGAAGTTTGGATTCAGTCAAAGGGCCACACTGGTGGTCCTAAAGGGCCACATGTGGTCTTGAGGCCGCAGGTTCCCCAACCCTGATTTAGACAGTATTGCAATTTAGCACTGGCTAGCCAGACAGACTCAATAGTTGTGAGTGGTTCAATGTCAGTATGGCAAGAGGTCCCCAGTAGAGTATCCCAGGTGTATTTAGTTGGCTCTGTGCTACTAGTTTTGATTTGTACTTACTACCTTATTATAATATTAAGAAGACAAGACAGATAAACTGAATGTTTGCTCTTTTGCTTTATTACCGCATATACGACTACCTTTTTTTTTTTAAGCGTTAGGGGAAATACCCATTTAATAATGTGATGGAATTGTCTGGGGACCAGATGGTAGGCCTTCCTGAGTTGCCTTTCCTCATCTATTACCTAGTGTATGAAAAGAAATATAAAGCAATTTTAATAGCAAAATATAATTAGAAAGGCAAATCTGCTGAAGAAAAGATTGAATTAATTCCAAAAACAAATACAAATGACCTTGGGATTATTTGTGATTATTTTTTATTACCAGCACCACTACTTCCCTACATTACTTTAGATGATGTAGGGTTGGTTGACTATAACATTGTAATCTGAATACCCAAAGGAAATAATTAATCATGGCTTAAGGGGGAAATATATGAATACAGGAAGTTTTTAAGTCTCCTAAACATTATGCTACAAAGTCTACAGGTCCTATTTTTAAAAATTTTACTTTGAAATTAGCTTCCCTGCTGCCAACACCAGATGCTTGTGGATAGGAAGCTCTACTGGTTTATTCATAATTAACTTGGACAACTTGGAATTAGAATCTGTTTTACATTTTAAAGGTAAGGTCATAAGGCATCTTAAATTTGCTTGATAATTTGAATACTTTTTTTTTGATCTGATATGAGTAGAAGGTATATTTTTTCTTATAGAAAATATCCTTCTTCATTATAATTTACTGTATGAAGCATGCAGATCTATGTATTTTGAAATTAAGGTCTCTCCTCTATTCAGCTTATTAGAGATAACTTATTTATTCTGTATTAATCTTAAAAAATGACCAAAAAAAATCCTCCATTGTTTGTAAATTTCACTTTTTTTTTTTCAAATTAAGATTTCAGTAACCTCAGCATTAAAGTTGCTGGCTCATGTGCAATAATGAACAAGGCTGTTAATCATAAGGTGAGTGAAGAAGCATTTAATGGCATTTCTACCAATATTTTAATAGCTTACTTCATCAGTTACCTTTAATTTGAACTTTTTAAAAGAAGGTAGAATTATCTGACAGTTTAAAGGTTAAATAATTAGTGACTTGCAAGTTATTGATATAAATAATTAACATGTAATGTTGTGCCAGTGACTTAACTCCCTACTACTCAGTTTCCTTAACTATAAAATAGGAGAGTTAATCTAGATAATTTGTAATGGCCATTTGGTACTTACTGAATGTTTGTTGAGTTGAATTGGGTGACTGTGCCTCTGTTTGTTGTCATGTTTATGGTAGTAAGTATATACGTATCACTACACTTTGTGTTTGTCAGTGACTCTGATTTCCTGATTTTGCTCCTTCAGGTTTTCTGTTTGCTGACCTCTATGTTTGGAAATCAAATTGCTGTGTTGGAAATCAGTCTTTTCGCACTCATGCTATCACAGTGTCATGATGTGAAAGAAACTCTTTCTGTTATTGCCAGGTACTTTCCAAACAACGCACACTCAGTGGGTGCATCTCAAATGACAGGCTTTTAAATTCTTGTTTCTCATAAAAAATGCAAGTGAACTTTACCAACTGTGACATTTTGCTATATTATTACAGAGATAAATTCTCATCCAGAACACTGAATTGTTTTGTAGCTTCCTAAACTACACAGTTTAATTTAAAATAATGTATGTATGTATGTATGTATGCACATACATACATACAGATATATTTCAGAGGAGAACAGTAATTATTATTGAAAATACGTAATAAACATGACTTGGGAATATCAGGCTGAGGCCAGTCTTGTCCTATTTTTGAAATCACAGCTATATACTATAAGGACTAGCCATTTGTAACTATTCTGAATGATTTGCATGTAGGTGGTACTCAATATCTATTTATTTAAATTTATCTTTATTTTATTAGTCGCTACTTTTGTATTTCATATTTAAAATTTGTTTTTAGTTCCTGTCTCCTGGCAACCTCTCCACTGTATATTAAAACTTTTAAGAAGAAAAATGCAAATTTGGCTAGTCAAAAGAAGTCTGGTTAGTATAAATACTTCTTGATTCTCTGGAATGGAAAATTTATGCTCTAATGGTTCTCTATAAAATTAAAATGTTAAATCAGAGTATTCTCTTAATTAACAAAGATACACAATATATTTATATTATATATATTTAATGTTAGATTTCTTAGTCAACTCACAAATTTAATGTTTTCTTTTTTAAATGTTTCATTGTGTTTTTATTTATTTTGTTAAATATCAACTAATTACATTTTAATCTGGTTCAACCCGTTTGGGAACTTTGCAGCCACTAGGGTTTTTAAAAAATTTAATACAAATGTCATATTTTCAAAGACAAGATTAAATCTTTTATTCATTACTTACCTTTTAAAAAAACTGGAAAGATTTATGATTTTGTAAGGAATAAATGCTCCTGCAATCAGTACAGATCATAGCCCCTCATATTTCCTCGCCGTTGGTGATTCTTGTTCTTTTCCCTATAAATCTATTACAGAGGGTCTTCCTAGTGGAAACTTTTTTCTTCTTTATTATCATAGTGTAAGAGTGTAAGATGGGTCATTCATTCAATTAGTAAACATTTATCAGCACCTTCTATGTTTAATACATTGTAGTCAGTTTTGGGGATTCAGAGAGGAAACAAAAAATAGTCTCCTTCCTTGAAAGGACCTTACCTGTTCTTGAGTGGGTGGGAGATATACCATTTACACAGATAAACAACAGAAAGTATTGAAGGAGAGAACATTAACATCTATGAGGCTTCTCGTAGAAGCTGCCAGTTGAGTTGAGTTTTAAAGGAAACTAAGGATATTACGAGATGGAAATGAGTAGAGAAAATATTCCAGGCAAGCATGACATGTGATGCAAAGCCTTGGAAGGAGGAGATAGAATGCTAAGTTTGGCAAACAGCAGGTAAGTCAATTTGGTTAGATCATTCAACATATGAGGGAGAGAAGTATTAAATAAATATTAAAAAGTAGGCTGGAGGAAGATTTCAAAGGTGCTAAATTGAGAAGTTTTTATTTTATTCAAGAAGCAATAGGCAGCCATTGAAGGTTTTTGAGCCAGGGAGTGGCATGGTCTGACCTGTAGTTTAGAAAGATCATTTTGGCAGCTGTGTGAATAATGGTTTGGAGAGGGGAGAGAGCAGAGGAAAGGAGGCTATTTAGGAAGCTATTTCAATACTCCAGGAATGATTTAGTGAAGATCTGAACTAGGATGATGGCTGTGTGAGTAGAGAAATGGAGATGGAGATGGGGGTGACATATGTTGTGGTAGTAGACTTGTTAGGACATGGCAGCTGATTATAAAGAGAGAGAGAATAAAGAGTCAAGAGTGAATCTGAGGTCGAGGACCTGGATGACTGGAAGGGTGGTGTTGCCTTCAATAGAAATGAACAGACCATCTGTTGTCCCTCAGTCTTTCTTCTTGATCAGCCCACTTTATTTTCTCATCAATAATATTTTTGATAGTGACTTCTAGGTCACTTCATACAAATCATTAATGGTAACATGTTGTCTTTTTGGCCCACTGTGTTTCTTTCTATTTATTCCTTTTGAGTTACTTATAATTTTAATTTTTCTGAGATACTATTGCATGGTTTGTAGGCAAATAGTATAATTTAAAGAATGTTGGTCTTAAAGAGATGGAGGTTTACAGTGGTGAGTAGTTATAGATAATTGAAAATGCCACAATTTCCCATATCAAATTATGCTGGATATCCTCTTTCTGCTGCTGAATCATTGGCCTAGATCATTCTTCACATATAGTTCTTTAAAGTGCTCAAATTGATGACTTAATTTGACAGGTGCTTATTTAGCTGTATACCATAATCTTGGAACTGTGTGTACATTATTTTTTTCTTTTCAAAATATCATTTTAAAATTAACAAGAATTTATCATCTCTCCTTCACATACTCTCCACTCCTCCTTCTCCCCAGCCCCCATCCCTGAAATTAAAGAGAATAACAAAACAAATTCTCACATTGGCCATGTCCAAAAATATATGTATCATTCTGCATATTTAGTCCTTTACCCCTCTGTCAGTAGGTGGGTCTTCTTCTTCTCCTTCTTCTTCCTATTTCTTCTTCTTCCCTTCTTCTTCTTCTTCTTCCTATTTCTTCCTTCCTCCTCCTCCTCCTCTCTCTCCTCCTCCTTCTTCTTCTTCTTCTTCTTCTTCTTCTTCCTCTTCCTATTTCTTCCTTCTTCCTCCTCCTCCTCCTCCTTCTTCTTCTCCCTCCTATTTCTTCCTCCTCCTTCTTCTCCTCCTGCTCCTCCTCCTCCTCCTTCTTCTTCTTCCTCCTATTTCCTCCTCCTGCTCCTCCTCCTCCTCCTTCTCCTCCTCCTTCTTCTTCCTATTTCTTCCTCCTCCTCCTTCTTCCTATTTCTTCCTTCTTCTTCCTATTTCTTCTTCCTCCTCCTCCTCCTCCTCCTTCTTCTTCCTTTTTATTACAATAGTTATTATAAATTGTTCTGATTCTGCTCCCTTTACTCTGTGTCACTTCATACAGATCCACCATATTTCTCTACAATCATCCATTTTATTATTTTTATGGCACAATAGTATTCCATTACATTTACCATAATTTGTTTAGTCATTCCCAATTAGATGGGTATGCCTTTAATTTTCAGTTCCCACTGCAAAAATTGCTGCTGTAAATAATTTTGTACATATGAATTCTTTTCTCTATCTTTAGCCTCCTTGGAGTGTAGGCCTTATAGTGATATTACGGAGTCAGAAGGTAACTGTTCATTAACTTTTGAGGCAAAGATTCAAAATATTTTCCAGGATGGCTGGACCAGTTTACAACTCCACCAATCGTGCATTACTATGCCTGTTTTCCTGAAGGCCTTCCCATAATTGTCCTTTTTCCTTTTTATGTTATCTTTGATAATCTGATTGCTATGAATAGTGAGTCCATAGCCCATTGACTTGGGTCTTTGGGTTTACTAAACATTATGGCTTTCAGTTGTTTCAGACTTGTCCAACTTTTTGTGACCCCATTGGGGGTGTTCTTGGCAAAGATACTAGAGTGGTTTGCCACATTTCCTTCTCCATCTCATTTTGTAGATGAGGAAACTGAGGCAAACAAGGTTAAGGATTAAGTGATTTGCCCAGGGTCATACAGCTAGGAAGTGTCTGAGGCCAGATTTGAAATCAGGAAGATGAGTCTTCCTGACATCAGACCAGCACTTTATCCACTGCATCACCTGGCTGTAAGAACACTATGCTACCTTGTTCATTTCCTTCTGATTGTTGTATACCTAATCCATTCCATTGTTCAATCTATTTCCAATAATACCTTTTTCAAATGCAATTGGTTTATTGGTCACACTATACTTCAGTGGCTTTGAGTGCAGCTCCTTTCTTTCTTAAAAAACATATTCATGTACTTTGATACTCCTCTTCCCTGCTTATAATTCCATTCCACATCCAACCTGAGGATCTGCATTCCTGTATGAAAGGCACTATTCTAGGCACTGAGGACACAAAGATAAAAACGGAATAGGCCCTCACTTCAGGATACTGTTTCTGTCTCATAGTCCAATTAATTCAAAGTGGGTGGTCTTCTTAGTGCAGTGCTGCCCTTTAGGTCTAAATACTTGGGAACTCTCAAAATGAGAACTAATAATTATCTCACGGTCCAGGTAGGAGGCCAAATGAGTGTATGGGTGCTGGCTTATATTATTTTACTTCAGTTCTGTTAGAGAGCTAAGTAAGCCTTATATCAGCTGCTAGCAGCAGCACCTCACGTGAGGACCGTACTGGGAAAAGATATTCTAATTTCATCTGAAAAGCTCTCTCTGGAGAGACCATATTTCATCTTTGCCCATGAAAAGCCTAAAGCTAGTTGTCACTGCTCCTATAATTGGCTATGGAGTATGATAGAGAGTAAAAAGTCAAGGAAAGAGATATAGAAAGACTGGCACATTGTTGGTGGAGCTGTGAATTCTGGAAAGCAATTTGGAATTATACTAAGAAAGTGATTAAAATGTCTATACCCTTTGCTCTAGAGACCCTGTTTATTACGAGACATGTTACAAAGATGATGACAATGAAAGACGAATCCCATATACATCATTCATGATAGAATTTTTTGTAATAACAGAGAACTGGAAACAAAATAGATTCCCATTGATTAGAGGATGATTAGACCAATTGTGGTATATAAATGGGTATTTATGATATTTATTAGGGAAGCTTGGGATAATTTATATAAATTCTTGCAAGGAGAAGAAAACAGAACCAGGAAAACAATGTAAGCAATAACTACAACGATGTAGTTAGCTATGGAGGGTTGGGAACCCTCCATAAGTATGATAGTTGAATTCATGGGTGTTGATGAGACAACCATGAAACAGTGTATATGGAGAGAAGACAGGGCCCAGGATTGAATCTTAGTTACACATTTATAGGAGGCAGCTCCATAGATGATAACTTTTGCAAAGAAGCCTGAGAAAGGCTAGTTTTCTATGTATAGGAAGAGAAACACTATAGTATAATGTCACAAGAAACCCAGGGAGAAGAGAGAATTTGGAAGGTAGTGATCAACAGTGACAAGTCCTACAGAGAGTTTGAGAAGTATGAGAAATATGAGAAGCCCATTAGATCGTCAAATCCAAGAAGGTGTTAGTGACCTCTGAGAGTGCAGTTTCAGCCTAATGGTGGTAATGGAAACTGGATTGCCAAGTGTGGGTGGAAGGTGAGAAGGTAGAGTTAATAGGTATAGATAGATTTTCCCTGAAGTTTGGTGGTGAAAAAGGATGGAGAGATATAAAATGATAGCTTAAGAAGATCATAGCTTAAGAACAGTCAATGATGTATTGACTTTATTTTTAAAGGTTTTTTTTAAAGGTTTAGTGAGATGTGATCATGTTTGAAGGTAGCAGGGAAAGAGTCAGTGCATAATGAAAGGTTGACAATTAGGGAGAGAGAGAGATGATCAAAGAGGCAAGATTGGAAGGGATGGAATCACGAGCACAAGTAGAGGTATTGGTATTGGTAAGAAGGGCCACTTATCATCTGAGATTGAAACAAAGGAGAGGATGGGGGGTGGTGCTGAGGTTATTTGAAATGTGGAATTGAGGATAATAAGGAGCTCTCAATGAATGGCTTCAGTTTTTTCAGTGGAGAATGAGGGGAGTGAACGGTGGCATAGGTGACTTGAGAACAGAGGAAAAAGTTTAGACAAGTAGCTGTGGGGAGTTTGACCAAGAGTCAATCAGGAAAGAATAAAATATTGAAGGGCGGAAGTGAGTGCCTGGTTCAGAATGAATAATATGAATTTATAGTGGACTTAATCTACAAGGTTAAGTGACTTCCTTCAATGGTGTTGAACAACCCATGGGTAGAAGCCAAGAAAACAGGCAGTGGGATTAATCTGGTGTTGAAGCTTGGAAAGGGATAAGCCATGATTGGACAAGGAGACAAAAAACTAAAAGCCAGCATAAACTTGAGCTGGCTGATTAAAGTTTTACCGATTGTGAAGAGGGAGAAGTGAGGCAAAAGCAAGGGTGATACTTGGGAAAGCAAGGAAGTGTGGAGTGAGTGGAAATTTGCATTGCGGATCGAGAATAAGTTTTGGGAGGTTGAAGTTCAAAGAGAACTGCCTTTTACCTCTTTTATTATTATTATTATTATTATTATTATTATTATTATCATTATCATTGTTATTGTTGCTGCTCTTATTTTACTTCAAAGTCTTATTGGGGCTTGTTTTATTAAGATAGACAATTCTTGTTTAATTTCTTTGAATGTGCCATTAGTCCTTATGAGGATGTCTTAGGATATCTTTCCTGTTTTCTTTTCTAAAATCTCCTTTGCTAGTACTTTAGCTGATTCAGTTTCTCCAGAGCATTTAAAATATATTGGCATTTTTGTAGTTTTGTGCATTTTAAATTTAGGTTAGTTTCCATTTTCCATCTTCCTGTGCGTGTGTGTGTGTGTGTGTGTGTGTGTGTGTGTGTTTGAGTGGTGTGTGTGTGTGTGTGTGTGTGTGTGTGTGTGTGTGTGTGTGTGTTATGTGTGTGATAGCTGTTTCTCTTCCCCTTTGGTGTTTTGCTTTTATGTTTTCCAACTCCCACTTCCATGTTTGTTGTTTTTAGTTGCTTGTGTGAAGAGCCTGGGTCTCTTTCACTTTTTTTTACTCTAATAGCTTGAATTTGTTCTCAGTTTATATTATAAACCATTATTCTCCTGCTATGTGGCTTTGAATCATGGAACATCATCAGTTGCAATCTGAGAGGAATAAAATTTTCAGGTGATCCAAATTGCTATGGAAAAATGCAGGATGTTTCCTAAGTAGGCCACAGCCAATGTTGATGTACATGTAAAAAGTAGCATAAAAAAGTAGCATCATTCAGCACAGAAAGTGGTGGACTAGTCATGTAAAAAAATATTAAGAACATTGCTTTGTTATCCATGAGATATTGATAGAACTGAAGAATGGTTTCAATGCAATTCCGGGATTAATGGAAAGACATAGGCAAAAAATTGTATAATATCAAAACTTGGAGGAGTTTGGATTTGTACTGGTTGAGAGGATAACCATACTAATGAAATCATTGATCCATCAAGATATGTGATTAATATTTTATTTTTATTAACTAGATGTGAAAAAGTTGTGTATACCAAATATTAAACAAGATTTGGAGTTAACTTGAATAACAAATAGGTGAATGATACTTCGCCAGAACATCAGATTGTGTCTCAACAAGAATTATTATTAATAAGCATTAATTATATATATTGTCAATTACGAGACATCAAATTATCCTCCTTATATTTTGTTCTTGCACTGTGAAGGGTTTAGTTTTCCTAACAAATCATAATGGGTCAAATTTTTTCTTGTTGGATTCTCTAACTGATAGAGTGTGTATACGCATACATGCAAATACATATGCAAATGTATGATAATATTTGATACATTAGATCTTTAGCTGTTATTATTTGTATTTTGTGATATCTTTACTCTTCCATCTCTATGTGGTATTTCAATTGCAACTTATAGATGGAAACATTTCAATTTTTCCCCATAGGGGGCATCTCATTTAGTAAAATAGCATACTATGCTATGTACTGCATTTTCTTTTCTTTTTTTCAGCCAAAGACATGTACTGCATTTTCACATAAATTACGGTGTTTATGTGCCTTAGAAAAAATGCTGATGTGATAGTATGCATGTAAATACTGAATTTTATTACAAAGATAATAGTTTCTCTGTAGCCAGCTGGTGGTTCATTTCCCAGGATTGGCTTTTGTGATTGTTAAAATATGTATTGCTAAGGACTTTTTTGTTTTGAAAAAGTTCATATGGAAAACAAATGAATGTGCCTGACTTAGTCATGCCATGAACCACAAAAATTGTATCCGTATCTTTACAAAAACACACTGAAGGCAATATGAATGAAACATGTAATTAATAAAGGAATAAAAATATATATTTTATTGCTGAAATTGGTTATGCAAAGACTTTTACCATAGTATTGCTTTCACTTAACTTTCATACATTGACTTCATAAGTGTTCATATGATATTAAAGACATTCTTAGCTTTATTTATTATTATAAAAGTAATTTTTGTTTTCTAAATTTTTTATTGATAACCATTGGTTTTATACCATAGAGATTTCCTGATAATGCTCTTGCCTCTGAAACGTTTTCCTCAATAATTCCCCCAACCGACTTAATCTCCTCCTTCCCAAAACTAAACAAAATAAACCAAAAAAGTGAATCCATTTGATAGAGAATTGGCACTTTTTCCCCTGAAAATCATTCATATCCTTTGACCAATTATTTATTAGACAATGAATCTTGGTCTCATATATTTGTGTCAATTCCTTATATATCCTGAATTTGTTGTTAAGTTGTTTTAGTTGTGTCCAACTCTTCTTGACCTCATTTGGTGTTTTCTTAGCAAAGATACTGGAGTGATTTGCCATTTCCTTCTACAACTAATTTTATAGATGAGGAAACTGAGGCAAAGAGGGCTAAAAGACGTCCCCAGGGTCACACAGCTAGTAAGAGTCTAAGGCCAAATTTGAACTCAGGTCTTCCTGATTCTAGGCTTGGAGCTCTATCCACTGCACCATGCAGCTGCTCGTATATCCTGAATATCATGTTGTTATTAGAAATAGCTATAGGCATTGACCTTTGATTTCATCAGAGATATTTGGTACAAAGATTCCCTCCCCTCATTTGGCAGTTTTTTATTCTAACTGCACTATATCATTTTCATAATGAGATTATAATATTCCCAACATTTGAATGATCCTTTTCAATTATTTTAATATAGCTGTGAAGAGCACCATAAAAGACCAACCACTGGTTTTCCACGATAAAGTTATATCATCCGGTTATGCATCTGCACCACAGTAAGTGGGAATTCTTTGAGTCAATTCACTGAAATATTAAATCTTTTTAACTAATTAGAGAGACAATGTTAAGTAACGTGGATTCCAGTTTTGTCACTGATACTTGTTACTTGTGTTACAATAGATATGAAACTGTCTTGAATAAATCCAATGAAAGCAGACTCAGCAAAATCACTTTATTAACACTGATGCATATAACTGTTAACAAAGTGGGTCAGACTGGTAACCTCAGTAAAGCCAGCGGTCCCAGTGAGAAGAAAGGGACCCTCTTTATTGACACACAGCAAAGAAGGGGTCTTGGCAAGTATGGAACATTATGATTGGATATACTTTTAGATGTAGAATGTACAAATGCAAAAACAATTAAGAACACTATTTGAGATTAAAATAAACATTTTTATCTCATTTTGCATTTTAGATGTGTTTTTGAGCAGCTAGGTAAAGTGAATATCCGCATATTGAATCATTGTATCATTAACATTAATATTCATAGGAATGCTTCAAAGAAAAGTCTTGAGTTTAAAATAACTGAAAGTTACATTTAGCATTCTGGGAAAAGAGACTGGGCCTGTGATTTCCTTGGCACAGACTGCTGCTGTGAGGAAGCTGCTTCTATCAGTGCAGATCAGTACCTTTTCTGGAACTTAAGAGTGTTACTTAAAGCATTGAGAGGTTAAGTAATCTGCGCAGAGTCAAACAGCGAGGCTGTCCAAGAGGCTGGACGTAGATTTGGAACTTCCTGGTTTTAAGGCTGGCTTTGCTATGTCACTATGCTACTATGTCTTTTGACAATACATTATTTTCTTTCTTTTTATTCTTTTGCATACTCTTGCATAATCTCTACAAATTAAAAGGATAATTAATTCATCTTTTTTATGGGGGGGAGGTATGACTATTATTTACTGGCATTTTCCCAAAATAAGTCACAATATTCTAGCAACAAATCCAGTGAAAGAGGCACAGGTGACAGCTGGTCTTCAAGCCAAGAGAAGACCTGAATTCAAGTCCTGCCTCTGGCACCTATTGTCTCTGTGACTTTAGACAAGTATCTTAACTTCTGGGTGCTCTAGGTATCTCCAAGAATAGAAGTCACAAAGAAGGTGCTGATTTGCATTTTTAGAAAGAGTTAGCTCACTGGGGAAGTCCTTGTTTCTATCTGAAAATTGCAGCAAATCAGAGTTTTTGCGAATGTGTAGACACATAATTGAAATTATGAGCCAATAATGAGCTAGAAGTTACAGTGACTAGATGTGCCATTTTAAGTAGGTATAAATTTAATTCACCTAAACATTTATTAGTCACCTTCTTTGTTCAAGGCACTGATACAAAGACAAAAGCAAAATATAGTTGTGGCCTCCCACTATCATGTTCTGCTGGAAAGAATTTTAACTTGTACTCTCATTGCATGACCAATTCGAAGTTTTTGCTTCATTAATAATATTGGAATGAGTGTAGCAAATGGACATTTGACTTTTCTCAGTGTTGTAGTGAATTGTATATGCAATCCATGTTTTTAAAGTAACATTTGAAGGTATTCTTTCCAACAGAGGAACTATGTTTTCACCAAAGACCAACATAAAGACAAATGGTGAAAGATCCTCAGAATCAAAGAGTCATTATAAATGGTATGTAATACCGTTAGTGCAATTAAAAAACTTAAATATAAAATGTGAAACTTCTAAAATGTTTTTATTTTATTCTCTTCAAAATTTTGTTTTATGGAAAGTTCCATTTCCTTGTAAAGTATATGCTAACCATCTATTTTGAGTGAAATTTCAGATCTCTTTTCACTGATATAAAGGTTTTAAAAAATTTTTCTAAATGTCAAATGTGGTGTTTGTTCTTAGTATATCATGAAATGTAGAAATTTATGTGTCCAGAAATATGATTAAAGTATTTTATCACAACATTCATAATAAACTGCTTTAAATGATTATTGATCAGAGCATTAATGTATGCATCATTCCAAGTAATAATTTTAAGTGGTCATTTATTAGTATGGTATTTAAAATGAATACCTCACTTTTAGTATAGTGAAAAGGAAACAAAATGAGGGGTCAGGAGACTTCTGTCTTTTCGCATCAAATTACACATAAAATATAGTCACTTTTACCTTTCTGATATCTCTTGATATATCCTTCTTTCTGTTGCTATTGCCACCACCCAAGCACATCTGTCTGGATGACTGAAACCCCCCTCTTTTTTTTTTTATTTGCTTTTTGGTGAGGCAGTTGGGATTGAGTGACTTGCTCAGGGTCACACAGCTAGTATCGAGTGTCTGAGGTCAGATATGAACTCAGGTCCTCCTGACTTTAGGGCTCGTGCTCTGCACCACCTAGCTGCCCCCTTCCGTCTTACACCTATCTTGCTACTTTCAGTTTCTTCCTGTTTGATTCCATTTGATTTAATTCAAAACCTTTCATTGGCTCCCTATTATCTATTGATTAAATTCAGTTCAGCTTAATGCAGGTTAACTAAGAATTCATTCAGTGCCTACTAGTGCAAACCACTCGAACAGGTGCTGATGGTATGAATGTAGACCCTTCCATAGCTTTCGGAGATCAATGAGATCATTCCCTGGGGAGGGATAGTTGGTGATCATGGAGGGGTGGGGTTTTGAGGACTAGAGAGTATGAGCTTTTGTGGTTTGCATAAAGGAAGGGGGTACTAAGAAATAGGTGGAAAGAGACAGACTCAGCTGAAATTCCTACTTAGAGCATTTCTAGGCTTTTAGAAAAGAACTAGAACCATTGCCATTAGGACCAGTGTTTATTCACTTGGAATCTCAGCTCTGAGGGCTCCTATCTTCTAAGCAAGATCCCCATACCAACAGCCCCATTTTCTCTGTGAACTCTCTACACCCAGAAGGTTGGGGTTCAGAAAGCTACATTCTTGAATTCCCCTCTTAGGCTTTTTGTAAGCACATGTCTGCTAAAGACATGCACTTCTTCCACAATGCACCATTGCTGATTTGGGGATGGGGAGGAGAGAGAGACAGTATCTCGCTACCCAGTTGCACTCTGCAAAGGGTTTGAGTCATCAGAAGCTAAGTCTTTGCTCCAGAGCTGAGTCTCCGGTTCCCTCCTCAACTTGACTCCTCTTGATTGTCTCATAGTGGGGCTAACTTGCTTATTATGTAGGGGTGACTGAACCTCTCAGCCAGTCATTAAAGTTTTCCTGTGCTCCATCAATTATCTTAATACAATTACCAACACTCTATAATTCCATCAGGTTGACTAAGGACATCAATATGATTAGCAGCTAACAATAGTGTATGCTCTAATATGCTATTAAGGAAACTCCTTCACACTCTGTTGCCAGGAGTTTTAGGAAAACTTCCCACTTTGATCAAGGAAACTTATTCATCTCATTTACACTAGCAACTATTAAACAATAAATAATAGCCATTCTTTATGGCTACTGAGAACGAAGAAAATCATCAGGTCAGTATCTTCATCAATTTGCATGAAGCAGGGTAATTTTTGCATTCTTACGCCAGTTATTTTCATGTTGTTGAAAATTATGTATGCAGATTTTAAATGAATAATGTATTTTCAGAGTTATGTTATGGTTTTGGTTTCAAACTGAGTCTACAGAGAAATTAGAGTCTAGCTTCTTTCTTGTATCCTACTCGTTTGATTTAATTTTTGTGTGACTCATTGTTTCTATTATCCCATAAAGTAAAAATTATCCCTTGGAGAATCTGCTGCCCACCAAGCTTAGCAGGCATCTATCTGTAAGCCACACATTAACTGCTATTTGCTGCCTTCAGTATTCAGGTGTGTATAATTAAAGATAAGATTTTAGGTTTTACTTTGTTTTAGTAATAAGATTATTTTAAATAAACCTACATTTAAAAATGTATGCAGTTAAGAAGATTTCCAAACGTGAGGTACAACATGCGTTGTTTGAATAATTAAAAACTCAGCATTCAAATGGATCTGTGATCTCGCTGATTTGGATGCCCTTTCTCCCAGGGATGCAGATCACAGTCCATCCCTGGCTGTCTGTCCTGTGAGGTGGCTTCCAGCAATGTTCTTGAGGTCCTCCTTGCTCTCTTTCCTCTGACGTTGTAAGAATACCAACCTTCTGGCTGTCAGCTTGCCATCCCTTGTTCTCACCATGTGACCCGTCCATATTCTTTTCCATGATGACGTCTTTGACTCTCGTTCATCTTTGAAGTTCCTTATTGGTGTAGGTTGGAGCCTCCTTCTACCCATCATCCACCTCTTTATTGCCCTCTAGGTGATATTCATTTTCAGTTCTTTGGAGTCTGTTGTATTTCATGTCTTGCCAACATACCTTAACACTAGAAGAATACTGTCACTAAATTGGAATTAAATTGGGCCCTTTTTTTCTGGAGAACTTAGTGTCATTAATGAGCTTTCTAGTTCCTGAAGGCAGTCTAACCTGATTTCCTCATGTTCTATTTTGGACCCAAATTATTTTCCATTTATATTGTTTATATGTATGTATGTGTGTATATGTATATGTATATATGTATACATGTATGTATATATGTATATGTATATATGTATACATGTATGTATACACATATAAACATACTCATGTACCCATATGTATACATATTTATGCATTCACACAATAAACATGCAGATATGTACACATTTACATGTATGGGTGTGTGTGTGTATATATATATGTATGTATGCATATATATATATATGTATGTATGTATGCATATATGTATATAAGTACATGCATACCCCCACACGCATGCTTATGGACAAACACTTTAAGTTGTCCATCCAACTACATGTCCTAATCTAGGTGACAGGCATTCTTTATCTCCATGGTCTTTTCTATATGTTTTATCAGGCCAAACTCCTCTTTTAGGCATCTCTGTGATATTTCAAAGACCTGATGTATCCAGCACAGTGTCATCGAGAGATAATTAGATGAAAACAAAACCCCAATTTTTACTTGGCTGCCTGTAATTAAAACCTTTGGTATAGACAGATGGACAAAATGTTTCTCAAGTGCTCACTATGTGTCTATCGCTGTGCTAAGCACAGAGGGCACAAGCATAAGCATATGAGCTTGTCCTTCTCTTTACGTAGCCTACGTTTTAATGGAGGCAGACTATGCATAAAAAGAAGCTGTAAAGGAAGTATGGCAGAGTTACTGATGAGGAGGTCAACAAGTCCAGAGGCTGGGTGAAGCCAGCACTAGAGTAAAGTTTTCTGGGGCCCCTCAAAAAATAGTGGTCTGGGCTCTAGAGAGTCACTAGTCAGGAGAGTACTTCAGAATGGAGGTTCAGGGCAGGAAAGTGACTTGTAAGGAGGTGGAGAAGTCAAGGAGAGAAGGGAGGAAATAAGCCTTTATTAAGCACCTACTATGTACCGGGCACTGTTGGTGCCTTTACAAATATCATCTCATTCAAGTTTCACACAGTAGTTCTGTGAAGGAGGTGCTATTATTATCCTCATTTCAGCATTGAAGAAACTGAGGCAGACAGAGGTTAAATCAGGATCATGCAGTTAGTAAGTGTCTGAGGCCAAATTTGAACTCAGGTCTTTCTGACTCTAGGCCTAGAGCTCTATCCACTATGCCACTTATCCATTGTACAACTTACCCAAGTCAGCTAATGAATTGAACCAAGAATGAAGTATGAATGGGACCTCTCAAGAAATGGAGAACTTTTTCATTTTGATTTAGGAATTAGGCTTTATCTATTCATAGATTGGTGGTGTTGGAAGGAACCTTAGGAAACACCTAGTCTAAGCTCTTTCTTTTATAGGTGAGGAAACTGAGACCCCAGAAAGTGAAATGACTTGTTGTAGGCCATACAACAAGAGTTGTGGGAGAGTTGGACCTTGAGCCCAGGTTGAATGACTCTTAGTGTGGTGTTCTTCGCACCACAGAGAGCTACCAAGCGTGGCCAGTTCAGTATTCTCCCTGTCCTTTGAAGTACCTTACCATGTGAGAACCTTGTTAATTCTCATAATCATGTTACTGTTGGAATGAATTAGAGCAGAATTTTATCCAAAAAGAACTTTCTCTGGAAACAGTCATATTAGCAGTAATATCCTGCTAAACTTAGAATCTCATTCGCTAAGATTCAGTTTTATTAAAAAGTGATTCTCAATATTGTTATGTTTCTTAACTATAAAAGGAAACAGGGGGTTTGAGAAGTCATTTCATCCATTTCAGCTACAAGATGAAAAACTTTGAATATGGCATTTGACAAACAATTCTATACTTTTAGATAATTTGATTGTTATCTACTTCTAGTCCTGACCCTGCAGTCCCATACTCAAGACTAACAAAATGTAGCTTCTCTCTGCTTATGTTCCTTTCTCACACATACTTTTTTTTTTCATTGTGGGGAAAAAAAAAACTATTGGTGAGAGAAGGATGCTATGATCACAGGACTCAGGAAAATAAGGCCGCTAGATTTCTGTGAGAAGCTTTAATTAGTTGACTTAGTCTAATTAGTTTAATTACTCTAGTCGATGAGGGAGGAAAATTGACGATTGGTAGTCTGAAATTTAATTTTAACTCAGAAGAATTATCTGTTTTTTGGAGATGAATCCTCATAGTTTGTTTTTGCTGAAGCATTTCCCTGCTGATTTTAAAATACCTGCCCATCTCCAGCAGCCACTATTCAAAAAATTCCCAAAAGGTATTTTATATTTCATTCCCAAAGTAGATTCCCCTCTTTGTTGATTCCTGTCTTTATTGATTTTAATTGTTATTGGAATAACTAAGATGTAGTTTGCAAAAAATTCAGTTCTGTGGAGCATACCGTCTATTTGAACATTCCCAGGAATGAGAATTGGATTCCATTCTCGAAACTATTTGCATGCACCTCAGACCATATGTTGGCATGTTCCTTGTCCCCATCCTTGGCTTGAAAGAAATTCATCCAACTATTAGTTATAGTTTAAATATTTTGATTCAAGTTTACAAGCATTTATCATTTGCCATGTGCCAGGCACTCTGCTAAACAGTGGAAATACAAACACAAGCAGAAAGACAGCCCTGCCCTCAATGAGCTTACATTCTAGTAGGGGAGGACAACACATAAAAACTGGGCTGTGGGCTGGTAGAGAAAATCCCCAGAGAAGTGGAGCATGAAGACAAAAGAAGTCATGACTAGCCTGGGTGCTTTCTTAAAATGTAGTTTTTGCAAAGAAACAGCCAGTTAGAGGAAAGGAACACAGAGTCCAAACATTTCCAGGGTGAGAAGGACAGGGGTGAAGTTAACTTTGGGGGTGAGGATGCTTCTGGGGCATGGTAGAAAAAGTTGGTAATCAGGAATAAAGCCAGTGGAGGTAAATTACTATTACATATATTTCCATGGTCCTCTCTTCTACTGCCCCTCTCCCCAAAGAATCAAAACTCTTTTATTATTTAAATCAGTTTATCCAAAGCTGCCCCCCACCCTGAAGATTTGGGCTATGTGATATATTCTTCAGGAAAATATACCTGTTTTGTATGTAGTCAACTTTAAGTTTGTGTGTGTGCGTGTGTGTATGAACTGGAATACTTGATCTATACTCTTGGTTCTTAGCTTTGAATATCAAGAAGCTTAGTATCTGGGCAAATATATTTGCTCAGCAAAAAGAATGCATGACTCTTTTAGTCTTTTTTTGGAAAAATATATTAAAACCATCACTGTTTGAAATGTGCTTTTTTAAAATAAGTAAAAATTACCCTAGCAAGTAAATTTTACATCTGAATAGTCAATTTTCGTAATGGACACTGGTTATATTGCATCAGATGTGACTTGGAACTTTTTTTTAATAGGAGATGGACTCCATTTGGCTTGTGGTTTAGCTGACCATTCATTGCTAGTTTTCAATTCCAGTCTTACTAGAGTACCAACTGTTTTTCAAGGTAAATGTCTCTTAATTCTATATTTTATGAATTTAAGTATGGGTTTCAGTCCAGTTTTATATATTAATTTGTAAGTACCAGATTTACTCCCCTCTGTAAATGGTGCTTGAGCTGGTGAGTGGAATGATGAGGTTTACTGACATACATAGTCATTTTGGGTTAACATTTTGTAATGTAAAACTCTAAATTGTGAAGCTGTTTAGTCCAGTAAGCTGACTTGGCATACATTGAGCATATCATCTTGTTTTCAGTTAAAAATGTCTTTTCCTTGGTAGTCCATTATAGTCAACCATGATGGACATGTTTATTCATAACTGAAAGGACAAACATTCAGTATTAAATATGTATGTCTTTGGTTATCCTGATGACTCTCCAAAAATTTTTAAAGAAAAATTTTGTGTTAGATATAAAAATACTTATTTTTTTTATCATTTCCTAATTAAAATAATTAACATGTTTTCTCCTAGTATGAAGGTATTTCAAAATTGATTTTTAATAGAACATTTTATTTAATTTAATAGGATTCTTTATTTTTATCAGAATAATTTTACATTCATAATCAAAGGAACATTATGCTGCTTCTAGTTTGTGATTTTGTAATACAAAAATTAATAGTTTTGTACTATGTTACTCTCCTATTCAATAAACTTCAGTGGCTCACTATTTCCTACAAGATCAAATGGTGAATGAATAAGTTAAGGTTTCCTTTATAGCTTAGGGTTATTGTTATGAAATTTGCCTTATTCTTAATACAAAAGGACTTTAAAGAGCTGTGAGTTTCATGTGCTCTCTAGTCTTGGGAATATTTTCACTCATATGTATAAATGAAAGAGTGTGGCACAGACCTTTTTGGGTGGATATTTCATACCAACTGCTCTTACTACACCATCTTAGTATATGATTGATTGTTATCCTTTGTTCTCCAAGAAGACTGAAATGACATCACTGTGTTGGAATGCAGCATATCAGACTGTGCCTGATCAGACCAATAAGAACTTGGAAGGCTCCACTACAGGTTGGGCACAAATAGTCCGTGTGAACATTTGGGGTGGAGATGTCGATGTCTCTAAACCTGAACATCTCATGTTTCTTTTGCACAGCTCTTTCTTTGATGTGGGCACGTCATGCTGGGTGGTCCTGGGCCGGTGTTATGCAATTGATTCCAAAGTACTTCAGAGAAACCTTGAGAGTGACCTTGTATCGCTTCATCTGACCTCTGTGTGAGCTCTTGCCTTGTGTGAGTCCTCTGTAAAGTAGTCTTTTAGGCAAGTGTACGTTTGGCATTCAAACAATGTGGCCAGCCCATCGGAGTCACGCTCTCTGCAGTGGAGTTTGAATGCTTGGCAGTTTAGCTGAGAAAGGACCTCAGTGTCTGGTACCTTATCTTGCCAGGTAATCTTCAGAATCTTCCTAAACAACTTAAATGGAAGCAATTCAGTTTTCTGACATGTTGCTGGTATACTGTCCAGGTTTCGTAGACCTACAACAATGAGGTCAGCACAGTGGCTCTGTAGACCTTCAGTTTGGTAGGCAGCGTAATACCTCTTCCCTCCCCCACCTTCCTTCAGAGACTCCTAAACACTGAGCTAGCTCTGGCAATGTGTGTGTCAACCTCATCATCTATGTGTACATTTCTGGAAAGTATACTACCAAGGTAAATGAACTTATCCACAGTATTCAAAATTTCTCTATTTGCTGTAACCAATGGTTCCATATATGAGTGGTGTGGTGGCTGGTGGAGAACCTGTGTTTTCTTAGTGTTAATTGTTAGGCCAAAATTAGCACAAGCAATAGAAAATCAGTCCATACTTTGTTACAATGCAGCCTTAGAAGCTGCACTGAGTGCGCAACCAACTGCAAATAAAAAATCATGCCCCAACTCTCCCTCTACTTTAGTCTTGGCTTACAGTCTTTTCAAGTTGAATAATTTTCTGGTGTGGTAGCTGACCTTGATGCCATTTTCATCCTTATAGAAGATGTCTGACTACATTGCTGGAAACATCATGCTAAAAAGCATGAGAGGAAGCACATAGCTTTGTTTTACTCCATTGGTGACTGGGAAAGTGCAAGAGTGTTGTCCATTATCCAGAATCTGGGCAGGCATGCTATCATGAAACTGATGTATAATACCGATGAATTTCTCTGGGCAACCAAATTTTCTCATAATTTTCCACAAGCCTTCATGACTGACTGTTTCAAAGACTTTGGTCAGATTGACAAACATTGTATACAGACCTCTGTTCTGATTCTGGCATTTTTCCTGGAGTTGTTGGGTAGCAAACACCATATCAACCATTCTTTAACTCTCTCTGAAGCCACACTGGCTCTCAGGTAGATGACTGTCTTCCAGGTGAGAGATTAGCCTATTAGAGAAGACTCTGGCAAGAATCTTGCTGGCAATGAGGAAGAGCGAGACAACCCTCCTCTCTCTTCCTGTTCTCCCCTCCCCCTCCCTGTGATTGTCATAGGGCAATCTATTTCTTTTACTTTTATAAAAATGGACAATGGAGGCATGCTTGAACTCCTGGAGTATAATGTCTTTTTACCATATAACATGGAAAATTTCAATCAGCTTTTGTATGAGCAATGGACCCCCTCCCTCATAAATCTCAGCTGAAATAGAATTAGCACCAGGTGCTTTGCCACACAAGAGGAGCCTAATGGCATTCAGATTCTCTTCTTCAGTTGGAAGTTTGTCTAGAGAGGGATACACTTCAACCTGAGGTGTATGGTCAATGGCTTCGGCATCAATTGATGATGGTCTGTTGAGAACACTGTAGAAGTAATTGGTTCATACTCCAGGATCATGTTCTTAATCACTAATCAATGTGGCTCCATCAGCACTGAGTAACTGAGGTGTACCATAGGTCTTTGGCCCATAAATAGCTTTCAGGGTATCATAAAAGTGCTTTGGATCGTTACTATCAGCATAAAATTGAATTTCATCTGCCTTCTTACTGAGACTAGAATTTTGCATCTCTCTAAGCTTCTCTTGTACTTTACTTTTGATGGAGTTAAATGCAGTTTCTGAATTTCTTCATCATTTTTGTCAAACCAATATTGATGTTTGTGAGGGTTCTGACACAGATGAGTAAATGCAGTGCTGAACACCAAATCTGTGAAAGCTGCCCACTCCTTTCCTGCTCCACAGCTGCCAACTATGTGTTGGCTTATTCCCTCCAAGTTAGCAACTAACTGTTCATGGTTGTAGAAGCCACTTTAATCTGTTGACATTAAGTGTCCTGTAATCTCTTGCCTTGGGGTTGTTGCTTTTGTTGAATGTGAAGATAAGTCTGTGATCAGTACAGCACTCCGTACCCCATATCATCTTTGTCATTCACATCCCGTCTGTCTCTTCTCCTTACAATGATATAGTTTGTTAAATGCCAATGTTTGCTGTGAAGGTGCATCCACAAAGTTTATTGTTTTTAGGAAAATGGAAGACAGTTGGTGATGAAAAGGTCATGAGATGTACAGGTCTTAGGTAGTAAGTGACCATTGCTGTTGCTTTTTCTGACTCTGTTACTTTCAAGGAGTCCCTGTCATGTCTGTAGTCTGAGCCTACTCTAGCATTAAAGTCATTCAGAATTATAAGCTTGTCCTCTTTCAGCACACTGATGATGAGGGTCTCCAAGCATTCATAAAATTGTTCTTTGATCTCCTTGGGGTTTGTCATGGTGGGAGCAAACACACTGATGATGGTGGCGTGGAGCTTTCCTGCAACAGGCAATTACATTGTCATAATCCTGTCCTTCACTCCTTTTAGTAGACATACAAGCTTGTTGACTAGATTAGTTTTGATTGTAAAACCTGTGTCAGCTTCACAATGTTCCCCTTCACCGTATCCACTCCAGAAAAATGTGTATCCAATTCCAGCTTCGGTAAACTGGCCTTCAGTTGCCAGCATTGTTTCACTTAGGGCTACTATTTGGATGTGATACCTGCTGAATTCTCTTGCAAGAAGAGCTGTTCATCTTTCAGGTCTACTGGATTTTGTGTTGTCCGTAAGTGTACGCACATTCTAAAAGCTAATTAAGTCTGGTTGAATGATTTATCAAGTGATTGTCATGGGAGTGAGGACCAAACCAGTGGGATTTCTAACTTATACCAGTAAAGATTCCTGCCAACTGCTCAGGGCTACTCCTAGACTGTAAGAGAGATAGAGTAGCCATTCTCTTGGGACCCAGTCTTCCAGTGTAAGTTGGTGTTGGGAGTGTAATTCCTGAGCATTTATCACTTCTTGATTATTTATTTACACAAATCAAGGGCTAAATAAATCTTTGTTGAATGAACATATATCCTTCCCTCTATGTTTTTGTATATCCTTTAAATGAGAATTCCTAATTGCTGCTTCAGAAGCATGGTGGGAGCACCTTGATTATAGATTGCCACCAACATCCCCAGGAACTTCAGGAATAGATGACAATCCACGTGACATATTAAATGGAAAGGGCAGATATGTGCTACTTTACAGTCCCTTCAGCAGAAACTCCCTGGACATTTTTGCTTTGCTTATTTATTTATTTATTTATTTATTTTTGTTTTAGTCAACGTTTATTGGACAACCAGTGAACATTCTACTTGGTAGAGTAAGGGAATACAAGACAGTTAAAGATAATTTCTTGCCCTTGAGTAGCTCATAATTAAGTTGCATGACAAAGAACATGAGATGATACCTTATGTTTACGTAGTAGAGGGCCAATAATATTTTCATTTAACAGCTAAAGAAACTGAGGCATAGAAAATTATATTAAATAACTCATCTAGATAGTTGGTAGCAAAACAGGAACTTTATTGTCTCAATATAGGTTCCTTCTGTCCCAAGCCAGTGTTCATGCTGCTGGATCATACCACTGTATTCATGAAACAACTGAGAAGCACAGAAATCTTAATAGATACTTAGGAGACAAAATTAACTTAATATAAGAAAGCAAATATCACCAAATCCAAATGCAACATGTTTCCATTAAAAGATTTAAAAAACAGTTAACAGGAATTTT